GCAGAACTCAGAACTGAGCTGCAGTAGTGTGGGCTCTGAGGCTTGGGTGTTCCTCTTTTGGTTTTGTACCAAGAACTGAACTTGGGACCTTGTGCTTGCCAAGCAGGGACTGTGCCACTGAGCTGTATACCCAGCCCTGGGTCTTCCTCTTGAGTGCACTTCTTTTTCTCTATTCCAGCTGATTCATACGTAACTCATTCAATTATTGCTTGAGGAATCCTTGCTGTAGAACCTGGAGGTATTTCCCAGTCCTCACTGTCTCTGCTGGGATTATCTTATGCCTATAACGTCTACCACATCCTGAGTCTCCTTCATGATAGCATAATGGCTGCTTCAATTCTGGTTGGCTGTTTTCTCCCTGCAAGATCTGTTTTAGGACTGAGATTGGTTTGCCTATCTGAAGATTCTCAGCCTCAGGTTCGTTCCATTTCCTTGCATTATTGGAAATATGCCCTCTGTAGCTCCTCTCATTTCTTTTCCCTGGGCTTCCCCCCCACCCCCACCCCCTGCGCCTTTTTGTAGTTTTTAGCCTGGACAAAAACTTCCTTGTGCCTAATTTGAGTTTCTTTGTTCTCACTGTTCAGCTTCCTCTTAGCATTTTTCCTTTAGCCATTCTCCCTCTAGGATAGCTTGGAAACATCTGTTTAGTACAGTGAGGAAGAACTGCAAGTCTCAGCAAACTTGAAGTTAGCACAAATCAGACATCCTTTTATCAGTTCTCAGTCACAATGTAGGAAAATATTTCTGTGGTCCTGAGGTTAGAAGGCAGGGCATTCCAGCTGAGCTACATGCCCAGTCCTCTTTTCAGTGTATTTTATTCTCCTACAAGTGGCTGGGCTCCAATCTACAACCTTTTGGCTTTTTTTTCCTCCCATAGTGCGTTAAGAGAGGTATGACACCATGCTGTGCTGGGAAGTAATTTCTTAAATGTACAGTCATCCTTAATTGGCCCCCAAAATCTTTTTGAGCATATGTTGCACTCCTAAAACTGCCTGGCATAGGGAAAAAGGGTGAGGTGTCAAGACGGGGACTGTGGCTTCCCACATACACTGCAATCTCTACAACCTCTTGAGGTATGTGATCTCAGTTTTCCAAAGGAGAAAGCCGGCCCAGAATCTTTACGTGGCCTGTGCACGACATAACACAATTACAAGTGGCAGTCTGGGTGTGAAACTCAATGTTTATGACTCTCAGATTCTACTGTAGCAGCTCCAAAGGGCCACAGAAAGAGGGTGGTCAGGTCCAGGAAGACTTTCCTGGGCTCACTGTGCATCTTTCCCATGTTTCCCAGAACCCCCCTGGGGAACCAAGCACCAAGCATGCCCTTAGGTCTCACAGGCTCTTGGGATCGAGGCCCTCATTAGCCAAACTGTAGGTCACTGAGGGTGACGACTGAGGAGGATGCACTAGGGGCAGGAGACCACCACTCACGAGGTCAGTGTCCAGGTGCTGGGACTTCCTTCTGGGGCACCACCCTGTGGTCCACATGCTTCTGCAGGGTGCTAAGGCTGGAGGTCTCACACTGCCCTGCTACTGATCAATGCAGCCCTCAGCTGTTTAACCTACAGCTACCGACTCATCTTAGTTTCCTGTGTCCTACTCAGGAGTCAGGATCCATAACTTGACTGATTGGAGACAGGGTTTTGCTGTGCAGTTTGGTATGGCCTTGTGCTCACTTTTGTAGCTCACAGGCCTGTCTCAAACTTGAAGCGATCCTCCAGTCTCAGTCTCCCCAGTGCAGCGATTACAGGCATTTGTCACCATGCCCAGGTCTTAATTTTGTTTTTATTTTCCATTTTAAAAATTTTGTATAAAAGTTAAAAATACGCTCTAAAAAAACTTCAAACACATAAGGTAAGTATTTGTAACATAAAAATTGACTTTCACAGGGGCCAGGGAGATGCAGTTGAGGGAAATCTACATTTCATAATGACTACTAAAATAGTGCCCTTAAGAGTACAAACATTTATGGTAGAAATTCTGGGACCACAAGGACCTACTGACAAAAGCAAAAGATGAGGGGCTACAGAGTTAGCTCAGGGGCACAGTGCCTGATAGGCAAACCTGAGGACCTGAGGTTGATTCCCGGTATCCCTCCCCCTCAAAAAAAGCAGAAGAGGGCTGGTGAGATGGCTCAGTGGTCTAAAGCACCTACTTAGAACAAGCTTAGCAAAGCACAGGGACCGCGGTTCAATCCCCCAGCACCACATGCCA